GTGGCAAAGGCTGGACCCAAGGGTCACTGGCACAGCAGGAGACACCTCCCACAGAAGCTGCCACTTCAACATAAATTACATTTAAGACACAGAGTACATCAGTAGAATGCCCAGAAATGAATTCAGCTTTCATGTAATACAGATCACGTATTCTCCTCTAGAAACTATTAATTTTGCCCTGTATCAGAGAAAGAAACCATTTAAAGTGAGAAAGACATTTAATCTACACATTAGAAAAAAAATGAAGCATCTTATTTGGTGCAAGAAAAGAGTAAGATCTTCTGTGTAATAAGTTCTACAAAACCTTGACTGGAATTTCTTCCTGACTACCTAACACTTAGAGATAAGAAGTCAAACTGACACACATTAATATTTAGAGGGTGTTCTCTGAACAGAATGACATTAGCCAGTGTTTGTATGCTGATCTTGCAAAAATTTGAGACAGACCACATTGGGGTTCCTCCTGCTCAGAAAATTAGTTAATCATATTTGACATTTGCTAGAGCCACAGAATCCAGAAGAGAATCATCCCTGACATATTTTTAAGAAGAAGAAAAAAAATAATCAGTACCTCACAAATTTCAAGGCTGAATTCAAATAGAGGAACACTGAAGTGGTATGGACAGAGAACAGCATCCAAGAAAAGATAAACTCACAATGAAACAGTAACACCATAATTGGTAATAAAACAAAACCACACATTTTTGTGGGCACAATCAATCGATTGGTTTTGTCACAGACATAGATTAAATTACATTCAGTTTCTGAAGTATTTAAATTCTTTCTTCTGTCAATGGCTATTTCAATGCTGAATAAAAGTCATCATATTACTTAGGGAGCTGCACCTTCATCTCTAGCAAATAAAAAAGCAGATTTTAATCCATAAGCAATTCATGTTCCTAATGACAAGCAGGTCATAATACTATGCTTTCTTTGTCAAAAGAATAAAACACTTTTTTTCTGTCTTGAAATAAGTAAGAAACTAGGCATGTAAATGCAAGAGATCATACTGGGACACAGAATAAACAACAGCAACAAAAGTATAAAGAAGTCTCTTATTATATCTGGACTAATTAGCATTAAACCACGGCACAAATTTTTGACAGGACAGAAAAGCAGGTCATTAGCATTGATGAGATAATAGAAATGATCTTCTAAGACATTTTGAGCAGACTTGCTCCAAATGATACTCACAGCTTGCAGTTATATCACCAGTCAAATAGTTTAACCTAATGTCCAGGGGAGAAGAGAGTGTTTGCATACAGGACTGAGACTCCTTTCTCCTCCTCAAATCTAATGCAATTTCAAAAATAATAAATTGCTAATAATTAAACACTGAAATATAAACATTTTACTACTATAAAGATTGAAAACTAGGCACAAAAAAGTAGAAGTTTGCAAAGCCTTTTAAAATGGATTTTCTGTTGGAGTCGCAGTACCAACAATGATTTGCATCAGTGATTATCTTAATTAAATGGCTGTTTACATAAGTAACGTTGATTTACTTTAAATGTTGTTCAGCATCATTAGACCATTCATTTAATTGTGCAAATTTCCTTTAGCTGCCATCTTCTCCCACCTTCTTAGGCTGTGAACAGCACCTCTGCTGCAAGTAAATCCAGAGCAAATTTAACACTACACAAACTTTACACGAGTTTCTTTGTGGAAACATGGAGCACAGTCCAACCCTCACCTCATCCTGCTACACATGACAAGGGCTCCACCCCACGCTGGGCAAGGCCAAGCTTTCTGACTGCATTGCCTGTTACAGGCTTGGATCAAAACCCAGACTGTGATTGTTTCCCAGCCCTCCAAAGGGCCACAGGCCACCCCTGCTCTACACGCCGTTTGAGTATGGCAAGTAGGAAACCCTGCATTTCCCCATCTGTTTTTACATTAGATTTCTCACTCAAAGAGGAAAGCTCCCTCCTGATGATACAGTGACCAGATGGCTAATCTGGTACTGAAGGTCTTCACTAGATCATAAATCATAAAAAGAAAAGAGCTACCAGAGTTGAAAAAAAGTTTAAGCTGGAAAAACCATCACAGTTATTCTAAAATTAGCAGTGACAGATGTTCAGAACAGAAATCAAGATTACTGGCCATTGCTACCCCCTGAATTCACTGTTTAGTACTGCTAGGACAAAGTAAGCTTTGTTTGATAATATTTAGTAGATTTACAGAGGAGTTAAAATCCCATCTAGCCAAGAAAACAGCTCAGCCACAAACGACTCTGTTTGTTCCAGCATGTTGTCAGCCTGGATGACTGCAACAATCTCCTCAAGCCTTAAAAATCCACGAGAACAATACTGCCACACAGACAAAATCAAAGAGTTATTACCTTCCAGTGTACTTTATTAAAGATTTTAACACACAAAGTAACAAAGTAATGCACAGGAGGGGAATCTGAGGCTCTGAGTCTGACATCCAGCTGCACCCCACAGAGCAGTACGTGGCCCCAGAGCTCCCTGTTAATTGTTGCTTGGAAACTCTGCTGTGGCAGGACTCTGGCTGCAAGTGCACTAACACAGAGCATCTGGAAGCTGCAAGGAAATGAATGCATCAGAGCAAGACATTAACCTTTATGGGGATACCTACTGCAGTCAGGATCTTGATGTCTAGAATAGGCCTTCTGTGTAGGAGGTCTGAGTTTTTCCTCAATGGTGATTTAAAACAACCTTTGTATGCATTTAAAGTTTCTGTTTAAACACGTTACATGCACAAAATATTAAGCACATACCTCAGCACTTAAACGTCCGGGACAAATTCTTAGAACTTGGAAAAGCTTAGTCATACTCTGGAACAATAGCCACTAAGTATATTTAAGTATTTTCATTTGAACTTGTATCACTGCAGACTTTCAAAGACTTCTTATTGGCAGTGCCAAGCCAATTACTAGTGATTGGTGCATGGAAAGACCAGAATTGTGTTGGAAAAATTGAGAGACATGTACCATGATAAACTGATCTTAATAAATTTAACTTTTATTTCAGTATTATACATCACATGAAAGGAAGAAAGAAAACAAAAATCAAAACTCCATAAAGACAAGGAAAAATTAAACTAAAAAAAAAAAAAATTTCTGAGCCATTAATCTTTCCTGATAATGAAGTACTTCAGGATGACTTCTAAAACTCACTTTAATTTAGATGCTTCATTTATTCTAATCTGGGAGATAATTAGAGGGAAAGCAAATCCATCTCCACAGCAGAGTATTTACCTGAGATGCAGCTCAGACTTCTCAGTAATCACCCTGTGTGTTCAAACTCATTGTTACGTGCAGCATTAAAACTTTACTTAATGTCCATTACTTAATTAACATCAAAACTAGAGTCTACAAGGCATACTGCTGGTCAGAAAAGGAATTATGTAAGATTCTTTTCCTACTAATAGGCCAAATTTTGCTTGCCCTGCTGCCAGATGCAATTAGACTAGCAAAACTATTACAAGGGATAGGTAAAGAACCGTCCAGCTTTCTATCTCCAGTCAACTACTTAGTAATCATCTTTGTCCTGCAAACAGAGGAACGATGCCTTTTCTCCACAGTTACTGGTAGGAGTGCAACTGTCATGTAAAAGTTCCTGTCTATCCACACAAAAAGTTATCACAATATTGCCCTTTGCAGCAATCAATAGAATTGACTTATGGTGAAGACACACAGATATTCATCAATAAGATGCTTTGTTAACCAGATTATCCCAAAAAAAAAGCTGCATCACTGAAGAATTCTTGCTGTGAAGAGACATTGCTTTATCTCATCACCAGCTAGTCCTGTTATAAATAATCTAGCACTCAAAATGTATCAGGGCAGACTCCTCAGTTAACTGAGTGTGCCACCCAGAGCGGTGTTCTCTGTGAATTCATTGCTAATTAGCATTTGCCTTTTTTCCCTACCTAATATGTAGTTAATGAATGCCTGACATAACTTCAGCATGAAAAAAGGGCATGACTAGTTACATAATTACAGGTTAAAAAATGATCTTTTTTCAGCTCCCTGTGCTGAAGTAATCTTAGAGGTGAAGGTTAAGTACAGGCAACACACAGCAGAGACTGCTTTGCAAGACGTGTGTACACTGACCACAGCAACCTTTCTGTGTGGCACTGCCTCTGAAAGAACTGCTTCATTTTATAATAATATTGCAATAATACAGAATCTTTAAGTATTACCACTCATGTCCTGTTCACAGGGCCCTGTCTACAAAAGGATGGAGAACTTGCACTTGAAATCAGTATGGAACATGAGCAATATATTTGAGGCTGTCAGTAAGCACCAAGAGAAGAATAAAATCAAAATCCTCATATGGAGGCAGGCCTGTAAGCAACAATTTCTAGGCACAAAAATATTTAAAAAAATATCTCCCTTTCATGTCTCCAAGGAACTGCTTAAAACAACGGGTATCATCAAAACCCAAAATATTATTTCTCTTTGCCTGATCCCACCAAAAGCATTTCTGTGCAAGCTGCTTCAGGCAGTTCCTCTCATTTCTAGATCATAGATTTAACTATGTTTATTATCACAGATCAAGGAAGCAATTTCTAAAGACAATATTCATACTTTTCAGCTCCAATGGGACGATTAATTCAGAGTCATTTGTGACTTTCAACCAAATTAATACACAAACTTACATCTCATGACTGTTTTGAATAAAAAAAGAGGCCTCTAACTAAATCTGAGTTACTAAATTGTTTGCACCAGATCTGAATCAAAGGCAAGAGATTCCAGGGGAACTGATACAGCCTGACTCACTATCTGTTTGAAGACCTTTTCCATTCCTTGAGCTACAGCACTTGCATGGCTCCTTCCACTCTTTTTGTACAACACCACCAATTAATATCCCACAAGGTCTTTTGGGAGAATTAACTCTGTGGATGCAAAGGGAGTAGCACAGTTGGGAACTCATTGTCTGGGATGAACTAACATAATCAGAGAAAAAAAATATCTCACTTCTGTAATTATTGCAAGGCACTGGTGCAAAAAAGAAGTTAGTAAACACACTTACTGGGTATCTTTTCTTTTCTTTTTCTGAGGGTCCACCAGGCGAAGAGTGTCTCTGATAACAGCCACTTTCACTTCTTCATCAACAGGGCTTGGGACATTTTCAAATACTCCAGGAGAAAGCTTTAAATTACAAAGTGATACAAATATTTAGCACAGAACTAAGGAGTATTTATACCATATTTGCTCAAACTTCATGCATGTCATATATGTTTTAAATACACAAAGCTAGATTACAAAATACTTCTTAAAGGATACACAAATATCTTAACACTTTCAGTATGATATTACAACAACTTTTGACAAGCTTCTCTAGTAAATTGAAATATTAAAAAACAGATTGTTGCCACTATTACCATTTATATTATGTATACAAACAAGAAAAAATTATTAGCAATCCCCTAAACACAATTAAGTCAGCTGCAGGGGATGATGAATAAATGTATTTATGACAAAGATGATGGAGAGCTTTCACAATTCCAATAAGTCATATTTCCAGTGTATAAGATTAGCAAAGATTTCAAAGAAGAAAATTACAGAAAACCTTGGAGGTTTCATATTACAGACAGCTTTCATCTTTCAAACATGGAAAAAAGACCAGAAGACCAAACCTAAACAATTTCATTCCAGTATCACTACCACGTCGACAGGTCTTACCTCTTGCTCATGTTCTATTCTCATGCTGGGGTTTGCATTTACTTCTAGTAACATGGGCTTCAAGTTTTTCATCAGGAGAATGTCAAACCCTAAAATCTGTGCATAACAAGCAATGTGTTACTTCAGTTCTACTCAGTGTTCTTGTACATAGCACAATGATCATCCCATATGTCAACATTCAGGAGGAAGAAACATTTGAGGGACACAAGAGAATTAACTGATAAACATGCTATAAAGCCAAATAATAGCTGAAACCATTTGTCTTCAGTAATAGTGGCTACTGTCACAATAACCCCAACTCCAAATACTGCATCTGTCAACATGGAATCCTGGCACCTATGACAAGTGGGTCTTAAAACTGCCATCATCATAGCTGCATTAGGAAGCTGCAAAGTTTCATAGTTACACCTAGAAGATGGAAACTGGAGTGAACAGTGTTACTAAGGATTGATCCCCATTGAAAATTCTCCAGGTGTGTTTATGGCCAGCAGTAATATAGGGCAGGGGACTGAGATTCACATGGCAAAACCTGGGTGAGGAGAACCTAAGCTCTGAGCTCACACAATGCTATTCAGTGTAGGCACTACACCCCACCAGTGACCAGCTACATAACTAGAGAAAGATTTTAGAAAAGGAATTAAACATCCAGAAAATGAATCCACATATAGAAATAAGTGCATTCCTGGCAGGAACCACAACCTACCTGGAAGCAAGTTGGCCCAGGCTTTCCTGCTGGTATGTCAGACTGATAGTAAACTTTCAGTTCTGGTGTCAGTGCAATAATTGTTTTAATCACCAGTGAAATTATATCTGACCACAGCTTTTTGATATCAGCTCCTCTGGAAGACAGTCTGCACAGAATGCTTGAAAAAGTCCTCTTGCTGCCAGTGTTCACACTGTCAGAATGGATGAAATTCCCACTATGGATATTTAGTGAGTAGTTGGTTAAGTGCATAAAAACCTGGTGCAAATTCTTCAGAGTGGGTTCCTGATAGGGCTCTGTACAAAATCTAGAAAGTCCATCTTTGGCTATATAAATCTCTAAGGGTTCTAAAGATTTCAGTAAGACATAAAGACGAATATCAAATTTCAGTTTGTCCACAAGAAGTGGTTTGCAAATATATTCCTGGACCACAGCTGGGCGGCTCTGGATGCTTCCTGTGAGCCTGATGTCACTTGGGTCCTTGATGAGGTAGATTCCATCCCCCTGGCACCCTCCATCAGGTTTGACAATGAAAGTGGGTTTCCAGGATGGATCACTGTCTTTCATCATACGAACCTAAAAGGAAAAGAATTACACTGAAAGACACTAACTGGAGGGAGGAAGAAGGGCTGATACTGTGCAAGCCAACAAGTTGCATTCATAACCAACGATAAATAGAAAGAACATGATCACATCACTATCGTAGTAAACACTGTGCAAAAAAGGTAGAAGATAAACAGTGCTGACAAGCACAAAGACAAAAAAAGCATGAGCAGGGAACCACAAGTACAGATACAAGGTCATTTTTTAACAAGGCATTGTATAAATGATCTCAGAAGCTTCTTTTTTATGTTTTGTGCCAATTTACAGAATGAAGTGCTGCATAGCTCATGAGATCTGTTTCATGAGTCACTAATGCATAAGAAACTGCAAAGTTGAACTTTTGTGCTGTATTTTGAACAACAACTGACAAAGATAATTTTTAACCTAAGGAAAGGCACCTCATTTATTAAGGTATAAATGCCAACAAACAGTACTGGAAGAAGGAAAGACAAAGTAAACATTTGGCACTGATAATACCTTCTTCCACCACTGAATATTTTTCACAATCAGATGCCCATTGTCGGTAAAACTAGGAAATATTAAGCCACCTACAGATATTAAGCAAATACGACTTATTTACTAAACAAAACACAGTTTATGCCTCAGTTCCTACCTACAACCACTCCCTAAAATGAAGGGTTTTCTAAACTATACTGGAATTCCCCTCAGGCCTGCCTGACATGCAATTAATTACTGCCTTTCTACCCAGTGCAAGATAAAATTCGATTTCAACAACTCTTCTCTGTGGCTATGACCTGTCTTAGGAAGCTCTGTGTCACAGCACATGACAATTCAGATCCTTTCTCTGGATGTACCTGGTGTGAAAGCAGGAAAGCGAGGGAAGCTGGTGGAGAATTTGATGGCGTTTTGTACCAAATCAAAGCCTTTGGATGAATCTACAAAGCACTCCATGCCTGGCCCATCGCTTCCTCAAGCTAGTGCAGGTGTTCAGTCTCCTTCCAGAGGTTCACCACTGCTCTGCTGGTTCAGTGGCAAACACACTGTGCTCTAGTGTACAAGCTCACCAACAGCCACCACCAACACCTACCAGCATAACACTGTAATATCCAAAACTGCTTAGAAAAGTCACTGCTAAAGATACATCCCACTCCTTGCACAGAGAAATGCTTCCAGTTCACAGATTTCCTAAAAGTTATGTCAAGTTCTCTTTACCACTAACAAGTTAAATTAATAGAATCATTTTGGTAAACATTTTTTCCAAAAGATAACATATTGACAACTGCACTTGCTGTGTATGGGTGATGGGAGATGGCCCCACTAGCCAGGAAATAGCAAGTAAGAAATTTTGACACCTACTAACAATCTTTGAGTATGTGAATAAAGATCATCCAGATAGAAAGAGCAGAAAAAGGGGGGGGGAAGGGAAAAAAGGAAAGGTCAGCAAATTAGTACCTTTCAGTATCAGTTTCTTTCCATTATGTGTAGTCCCTTGCCATGAAAGATCTCTGTTTGCTGAAGTCAACTTCAATACTTTGTAAGAATGTCACTGGAGGACTACTTGACCTATTTCTGTATTGTTTACAGCAGTGTGGACCTCAATACTCCTGCATTCAGGTCTCTTGCTGCTGTACAGATATCCATGCTCTGTACATATACAAGCCATTGTATAGCTATCTAACCCAAGATCTTGAGGTTTTTTTCCACACTGTGCTCTAGATTCTTGGGGTGTAGAAGGGAAATGGTTTACCACAAATCAAAACTCTAACAGCGATGGGGAAGTACCTGTGGTTTGTCAGAACATGATTGTTCCACAGACTCTCAGATGTGGCCTTAGTAAAATGAAACAAAGGTAAATTATAGAGACTAATGGGATTATAAAGAGGTGTCTACATCCCCATACAGACCATGAGAAGAATAAAAAAAAAGGAAGAGTTCTAAAACTCAGATCTAGATCCAAATGCCTCAAATTCGAAAGGCACTTGAATCAGAACTTTCTGTCCAATTGCACTGTAATTTCTACATACTGACATCAGCAACTTGATTTCTGGGGCACGAGCATGGCTTGGCACAATAACAAGCAGTCTTTTATAGAAGCTAGCTTCTTAGAAGCAACATAAATATCTTTGGAGTTTTTGTTTTACAAACCAGTGAGAGTTACATAAAAAAAAAAAAAAGGGAAATGCCCACTTTTCTTTCCTAAAGAATTAGTTATTTTATCAGTGAGAAAATAAGATAATCCCACCTGGAACAGACTGGTAATAGTTGGCAATCCAAAACATCATTATTATAATAAGGTTGTTTTGGCCTTTGAACATGTAAAACTGATGTATTTCCTTTGCAGGGAATGTTTAGAGGCTAATGTCATCCCCAACTGGACAGAGTGAGTCAGAATAAAACATGGCACCCACAGCTAACTGCTGGATCCAGATCTGCACTTCTGTAAGCAGCACACATTCACTCAAAACTGCCTCTCTCTCAAAAAAAAAAAAATCAACGTAATTAGAGAAATTTTTTTACATCAGATAAAAGAGCAATTGCACCATCTAAATTGCCTACAAAGCTCACATTCCCAAGAAGCAAACCTAAACTTTGTGAGCTTCAATGTATTTTATTTCAGGACTAAAAAAAATCAGGAAGACAGTAACTAGGTCACTGTAAGGGCCTGACACATCTGCTGAATATCAGCTCTTTCATGTTACATGCATATCTTCCACTGCCTAAATAAATTTTAGTTTATTTATTACTTTTATAGCAAAAGGAAGAACTGCAGAGATTTAGATGCCTCAATTAGGTTAGAAATGAAATGGAGAAAGAAATTCAGGAAGGATTTACAGTTATCTTAAGATGAATTTTTAAAACTATTCATAAAATATGGCATATTTTACAACATGTAGCAAGGAAAGAATATGAGCCTGTTTAAGCCAGAGAGTTAACACATCTCAGCCTTCAGAAGCACAGAAGGGAAACAGCAGCTACCTGAGGCATGGGCTCACTGAAGACCTGTCTGCTCATGGTAAACCACCAGGACCTGAGTGAGGGAGCCCCTGTAGCTCCCCCAGCTCTGTCCATCTCTGCACATGAAGTCCCTACACCTCTAAATGCAGCAGCACTTCATTCACTAATATTTCAGAGAAAACAAATTGTTAGAGCATGAATTGTAATTTATCAAAATGCAACTATAAAATCAGGTTCCACTGAATAGATGCAGAAGGACTGCAGCTCATGAACTCCTGGCAGGACCAGCACAGGGAGCTGTAACAAAGCACACAGCCAGAGAACACGCAGGATGCAGGCTAACACATGGATCAGCTACTCGTGGAATTCAGAATAGAGCACTTAAAATCTCTTCTTTTTCCAAATGGAGGGATGTCACAGTACAGATCCCTTCTCTTGCATTCACACATTTTATGGCACTCGACCTGCAGCTGCTGTTCTCTCCACTCAGCCAGACACATGCTGAACAAAGTCGGGTGGGCTGGCTTCACACAGGCCTGCAGCTCACCAGCAACAACTGGGGATTGACTTTAAGAAACCTGAGGATACAAGCTGACAAAGGAAAACTAACCAGTTGCCACCGTCAGCCCTGGCACTGCAGAATGAAATACAAAAGGTTAGCACACAGTAAAAGGCTGAGCAACGGTCAGATCGTTGTGATTTTTGGACAACAGCCTCTCCTACAACTGCATTGGGTTGCTGATGCACACAAGAGGCACAGCTCTGCCAGTGACAATGTTCCCAAAGCCTGAAGAGCTTCTGGTTCCATAGGATAGGAACTGGATAGGTCCAGTCATTTATTTCACCAAGAACCACACTGTTAAGAGCCTTCCTAACTACAGCAGAAATTCAACATTAATTATTCAGATGAGGATTTTTCTCATGGACAAGTGTCACACTAACTCTTCTTCAAAATAGGTCACTTTGAGAGATAAAATGCCCCAATGGATATCAGGCTTACATAAACAGTGTGTGCATAAATAGGTCCAAGTAGATCAGCAGGCCTAGGTATGCAAAGCAGCAAAGCAGGATTTATGCCCTAGTCTTTTCACCACTAAAGAATAATCTTCCCCTGACGTGACATTACTCTGCACACTAGAGGAGCTTCTCTGGTTAAAGCCACTGTCCTAGAAAGATGTCTGGCTAATCTTAAACCTCCATGACTAAACATACCCTACTATGACTCTAGCTGCACACACAAAGTGCCAATCATGGTCTGCTAGGGCAGAAAGTAATAAAGAACTCCTATGAAACCAGGCAGGACAAATCTCTCTCCCATTCCCATATCTGTTGTTCATACCCCAGGCTACCTCTGCTCTGCTACAGCAGCACCTTTTCAAAGAAGATAATGCTTCTGGGGACTACTGTAAAAGATGCAACAGCACCCTGCTTTTGGAGTTCTGCATTTTAACAACTATTGCTGTCATACTTAACTCTTTTCGTTTACCTGGAAAGGAAGTCATTTTCTTCATCATTTTCTAGTCCATTTTTTGGTAGCCTAAGTGGCCTGGATATCATTCAGGCCTTCTAGTCCATCAGAATTTACACAGGGCAGATGAAGGCAGGCCATTGGGAAAAGGGGGAATAGTAATCCAGGGTCTGTTTTTCAGCAGATTGTCTTGAAGAAAGCAGATGGGTTCCTGATCTGAAAGCAAATTCCTGACAGTTGTCTTCAGGTTCTCCACAATCCCCTCAACTATGTTCTTTCAAATTCTCATTACGAGGAGGCTTGTCCAGACTTAGAAAATTCAGTCATGTAGGAAAATTAGTTCATATGAAACAAGATATTTCTGTGTACTTAGCTTGACAGAAGGAAATTATCTTTAAAAACACGTTAACTGTTTACAGTAAACAGCAAGAGGACAGTATGATGTCTAATGGTACAAAAATCTGATCCATTTGCAGGTTTGCCTTTCATGAGGAAACACAGGCTGAATTAATATAGTGTTCTGGAAAAAATGCATATAATGGGCTATAAGATTTGACAGCAAAAAGACTACAATATTTATGTCTATGCCTAAGCAGTATCCAAAAGCTGAAAATATGATTAAATCACCAAAAATATGCTGTGCTGGAAATTAGACATTAGAAATCCAAATTAGATTCCTATTAAAAATTAATCATACTAGGCCTATTCATCATACTCACAGACAACACAGAGGGCAGTATGAGAGCAATCAAGGTCCTGGTCTGAATCCCAAGCTAGTTCTTTTTCAGAAATTGGATTTTCCTAATAGAAATAAGTTCCTGGCACATAGATTCCAACAGATTCTTCTCTGTTAGTGATGGAGTGATTACTGTAGCACCCAAGAGATTTGCTTATCTGTAATTCATCTTTTTCTTATGGTCACATGTTAGTACAAAATGTTTTAGAAGATAAAAATAGATGACTATTGAAAATAGATAAATATACATATTTAGAAAACCACATACGAACACATAAACAATAGAAAAGACTGGAGAGCTCCTACTGACAACTCATGAAACTGCAAGTGAAGAGGGTTCTGACCACTTCTGGTTCACAGTGGATTTGGAAGGTTTTGGTTCGTATTTTTCCTTGTTTTGGAGGGGTTACATTACAAACTTGTGTTAAGTAGAACATAAACTCTTACAACATAAAATATAATGTTTGATAACAAGAACTATGCTTCTCTCAAACACAGATGGAAGAACATATGCAAAGGAAACTCCTAGGAGTGTGTTACTGGACATCTGTTATTCTTGGAACAAAACCCGACTCGTTTTCGCTCCAGTAACCGCTGAACCAGAGCAAAGGATTTATTTGCAGTGCCACCTGCTGACAGCGTGTGGGTCTGTGCCTGGAACCTGCTGCACAGCCCACACTGCCACACGCTGCTCGGCTGAGCCAAGCCTGGTAACCCAGCCAGCCACAAGTCCCCAAGAGTCCCCACTAAGAACCCCACTGCACCCTTCCGGCAGCTTACTCCAAGTTATTTGCACTTCTCTGCCTGTCGTTGCTGAAGTGATTCATTTACACTCCTTTTACAAACTGGTTTTACATCTGAAGCAGAAAGGCAGAAGTAGCACTGGGATTTCATTCATTTTCCTGTTACTAGCAGTGCCATGGCAGTGACCCAGCACACTTGAAGAGTATGTATCAAAAGACCTTCAAGGACTTAATTGGATTGTGAGCATGGTAATTATCTAAATAGTAACACATAGTATTTAAGTCTATTCAAGTCCATACCTTTTTCTCTCACTTCTCCAAGCAAAGGATAGTGTAGAATACAAGAATGCACTGGGCAAGTCAGGGTTAAAACAAACACAGTATTTTAAAAAATATTTGTACTAACATAACCAAACATGAACATACAGCATCACTTATTGTCAAGAAGAAAAGCTGAAAAAGAATAGTATTTTATTACATTCTGAATATTTAAACAAAGCAATAGCCTGACAGGAGATTCAAACAGGGAATTATTCAGGAAGATGTGGGTATATTTGACAATGCACAGTACAAAATGCTGTTTTGAAGGATTTGGGTAGCACAGGCAGGATGGACTGAAAAGAATTCTGAGACAATGAACCCAGCGACGTCCTGCACTCCACACACTACTGTACTAGAACCTCCTCAGCCCCTTTAAACTCAGCAGAATATGCAAGGAAAGGGCTCATGGTTCTACCATGGTTAATTTTCAGACACCTCTTTGAGCACTGCAGAGAAACATAGCTGGTTTTGAGTTTATTCTAGAAGGCAACAAAAGCAGTTCATCCAGACTGTGTCTGACCTCGGGCAAATTCAAAGAGGTGTCATCTGCAGCACCCAAGTGTGACTGCAAATCATCTGGTGGGCATAAAAATCCTAGAGAATGACATGGCAACAATATCCAGCAAGTTACACTATTGTGAGAGTCAAAGCCATCTACCTCAGCCACAAAGAGGGGGAATTCTTCTGGCAGAATCCAGGACCGAGGATAGAAGTTATACTCCAGAGGAAACAGATCCTGCATCGTTCGCACTGCCCGGCTCAGGGGGATTTTTCGTACCATCTCTGTCATGCCTGGGAAAAAAACAGACAGTGTCTAAAAGTGGTGACAAATCTGCACTGAAGGCTCTTCCTAAAAGTAAATTGTTGTATCGTTACTCACCCTACTGGTAGGCACTCTAGCCACTGCTTTAGGTAAAGCTGAAAGCCTCTTAAAATTTAAAATATGAGAAAATATTTGTAGCAGTCCTCTGCCATATTTCATATTGTATGTATTACTGTATCATATCAGAAAAAATAATCAAAAAATATAATTCAGGATAATAGCAGGAAAGCTTTAGTCAAATAGTAACTACTGTCTTTGCCATATTTGTGAATTACTGCCCCAGCCTGCCACTGTTCCAGGAAGAGGTAAAAAAAATCACATTTCAACATAATCAACCACTTTGTTTAGTTTGCATTCAAGTAAGCTACCCAGAAAGAATAAGTTATTTTCTAAGCAGTCCAGCTTAGCTGTTTTCCTGCAGCTTTGAATCTCATGCTTGGATCACACCACTTCCAGATCCACGTAAGCTCTGGTAGAAGCTTTTCCCAAAGTCAGGGCATTCAGGGTTACCCCCGTGGGTTTTATATGCTTTCAAGTATTATAGCTCAGCTTGTTCTGCAGCTTCTTTCTCAGTGAGAACATCATCTGTGAGCTTCTTTGCTACACCATCATCAAATTTCCACAAAACCTACAGGAACTCAGTAGTTGGTGACTATAAATCTCTGTTGAGAGCAGCTGATTTTAGCCAGGAGGTTCCAAAGGCACAAGGAGAACAGAAAGTGACAGGGAACACATTTGCTGGAGCCTTACTTCCATCAGGAACACGAATAAAAAGCTATTTTTAAGGAAAATATTCTACGTTTTTCTGAAGACCAAGATTCTTTGAACCTCTCACAAGTAAATAAGAGAAGCATAAAGACCTCTTCAAGAGAAAGAATTTAGTAAAACCCAGTATCAAGTTAGCACAATGTTCTGGAAATCAGGTCTAGTTCTGGAGGACTCTAGTTTTGATTACTGTGCAGACCACTTGTTCACCAACCAGAAGCCAGATCACAGAGAGGGTAACATTCACCTCACACAGATTTAAACCACCAGAAAACTACACCATCCAATACCTGAATGTGAACTTCCCACTGACAGGAGAAAGTCAGGGTAAATAAAGCATAAAGTTCAATATCTGAGGGTTCTTATTCTCACAGCATACTAATAGCAGCAATAAATCTGAAATAAAGGGCTTAGATAAATCAATACCTAAGCTCTTATTTAGAGAGATCTCAACAGGGACTGAACAAGAAAAAAAGGAAGCTTAAAAAAAGTAGAAGAGTCATCATAAAATGAGGGCTGACATGAACCCTTCAATATTAAAAAATCCATTTGAGGAACTGCGCTTTGAGCTTCTCCCTGAGAAAGGCCAGAGTACAAAACAGATTTTTTTCCACTTTGAATCAAAACCAAATCCAAAGATAGAGCACTGTTATGAATGCTAGATAACATACAATTGCATACTTCACTTAAATGATAGCATAACACACTTATTTTCCTGAATTCATACATATGAAGTATTCTTTTCACCAAAGCCGCTTTCTCTCCAAAACAAATTTCAGTTCAGATATTGTTTGAGACACCCATTCTGGATTCTTAACCCCCAAGCAGAAATCACCTACCAAAACCAGGAGGATGCTAAAAATACTATCACCCAATTAGGCAGATAATGCACATTAAAAAAAAAAAAAAAAGTAAACCACAGTAACAGTTAAAATAGTCACATTTTTAAAACACTTGTTTAAGCTAGAAACAGAAGTAAGGTACCTGGAAACTTGTTGACTTGCCCTGAGAATATATCATTATCATGAAATGACACCCCATGCCAATAGATATCGCACGGCAGGCGCCTGCCAAAAGGAAACTGGAAAAAAAGACAGGAGACAAGTTTTGAAGCAATCTGGCAATACCTGTTCATTCCTTACTTATAAACACTCATATTAACCATGAACCATTCAAGAACAGTCTTCTGACTGTCACAAGAAAACACGCTCTATAATTTGGTTGCAAAACTATTTTGATCAGTTGGAGACTCTAAAGCTCCAGGTGTTAACAAACCAGGAAAGCTTTCTGGAAACTAAAAACAAATGCCTGAGAGGCATGAGCTGTGTGGAGAAACTCCGAGCTTGTTATCAACCACAATTAAGGCGTGACTCATTTGTAATTTAAAATATTATTACAGGGAATAAGATTTCATTAAGAAGCACTTAATTCCAGCACACGGGGGCACAGCAACAGCACGTGCTGCAGCTGGGAAGTGAATAAACTCTGACTGACAGTGGTTTGGGCTGGGACATTTTTTTCCTCCCCAGTTTAAGGGCTGGTAAGCAATCATCAAGGGGAAAAAAGCACTAGAGGTGATGGAGGAATTGTCAGCACTGGCAGTTGCTAAATCCACTCCTAGCTTTATAAAGATGGCCATTTAATGCCCAGTCTCTCAGGGGCTGTAGGGGTGCTCCCCCCTGCAGCCTGGTAACCCCCAGCCCCTTCCCAAATCCTTCCCCCTGGCCATGTGCCACCTCCCTGTGCTCCCAGTCTCCCAGGAGCAGGAAACATTTCTACTCCCTAGAACTTTATTCCAGGGAATACATGTAGTCACCAATATTGTTGTAAATTAAGTTGCAACTGCAAAGCATTTCCTGAGCAAGCTGATAGACAAGGGTGTGCAAGTTACAATAAATCTAAAATGAAAACTCCAAGCAATATATTTAAGTGATATAACAATATTATTCACTTACATAGATCCAGTTATACGTAGTAATTTACACAGTATTAATTCCTTTCTGGTACTAATACTCTGTATCTAAAAGAAAAGTTTATAGTTTAATTATCTTTTGTTGAGTATATCTACTTCAACTATTAAGGACTAAGGCAATTATCTCAACAATATTAAGTATTCCACCAACTTAAGAGCTTCTTTTCCTGTTCAGAGAAGATTTCACCACAAATTGGAAGATGGTGGTTTTCTATTACCAGGAAGACAGATCAGTTTTAAACAGTCTGAAGAGCTCTGAAGCAGCTCTGCCAACTACCAACAGCAACAGTTCCTAATAGTAATAAAATGGTTCTTAAAAAGCAAGTGACCAGCAGGAAGAACAAGGGGCCCATGAATTAGTAGTCTCAACAATCCAAAGAAAAAAACCCAACTTGTTGAAAATCAAACATTTGTAATGGGACATAATAATAATAATTCATTAGTTTTGTGTAAAAAAAGGTACTCTTATTTTGCATATTCTCTTAGACAGTTCCTTTTATCAACCCCCAAAAAAACATTTTATCTGCAGCTCCATGTAGATGCTATGAAGTAACATATGGAATACATTCACAGGACTGTCTTCTATTATTAGATTACATCTTCTTTGGATAGATCTGCTGTATTTCTGACCACAGCATTTTCAGGACACATTGTATGAAATATCTGCCACCCTCATCACCCAATTACTTCAGTCCCATTTACTTTATTGAAAGAATCCCAGTATTTTACAGAAACGACTTGTTCTTTACTCCAAATGTAATTCTTCTTGCTTTAAAACATTTCTTTAAGCACTGGAACTTTTTTAATATGACAAAAAAGAATCTCATAAAGCTTTTGACTGAATTACTTTATTTGCTACTTTAATTAAAACTTCAGTTTCCTCAGTAAATAGCCTTGAAAAATGAATTTAAAATGCTAATTGAGCAATGCATCCTTTTTCTGTTTCCTTCCTCACAGGGATGAGATTCTCAATTTAACAGAGCCAGTGGATTCTTCACTTATTTCATTATTATTCAGCCTGCAAAATCTGTTTTTGTACAAGTGAAAATTAATTCTGCTAGGCTCTGAAAGACAATCAGTGGCCTTAACCTCTCTCCACTGGTACATCCAGAATACAGATGCAGTATTAGGTCTCAGAGCACCCTTCCCACTCAAACCTGAACTATTTATTTATTTATTAAATGAAATTGAAATGGAATAAATGAAATTTGCATTTATATAACACCTTTCATCTACAGAGGATATCAAAGCACTTTACAAACTCTGCAGATATCATTCCACAACAGATGAAGAGTGAGCACCCCTGGACTGGAAAATGGAAGCACTGCAGCCCTGCCCCAGCGATTCGGGTAGCACAGCAACAGCCCTACTCCTGACAAATCAAGATTGTTGGGATTTATCCAGCAACAGGATCAAACTTACCTCCTGAATGAGCTGGAAAGGATTCCTTATCACCCACGCTACACTTTCTCATCAGATTAGTGTTTGGAACAAACAAGTTTGATGACTTGGCTCCCCCTGGCAGTGCCAGGCCAATATAAATGAATTTTATTCTTGTAAAAGAGACCTTTCCACCAGCCCCTGGTGCAGAGGACTAGCTAAAAAGTGGATGCTTGAAGCAGTCCTCTGTTCCACTAGTAATTTCTGCCTACAGCTACTTGGTGTCTGCTGGAATACCCCCCAGGACAGCAGTACCTGAGGCCAAAGCCAAGGTGCTCAGAGCCCATGGAGCTGGGGAGCTCTGGGCCATAGGGGCATGGAGGCTGTAAGTGTGGCTGGAGCCATCCTAGCTGTGAGTGCTCATCCTGTGCCAAAAACCTGAGAGTCTGGGCCTGGGATCAGTCACTGCAAACAACTTCCAGCTTGCAATCTATCTATTATCTCTTCAAGCAATTTATTTAAAAACTTTCTTTATTCAGAGTTGGGGGGCATTTGTCAGAACAAATAAACAAGGAGCCACGAAGAGAATAGAATTGTCTCCACAACTTTGACAATTAATAATCCACCACAGTCAGGTTTATCTGACAGCTCATTTCTACCTTTTGATTAGATGCCAATAATTTAAATTGTCTCACGGGTCACATCAGTCTGTTCCATCATGTTTAATGACAAGTTAAATGACTCTTGTCTTCTAGTCAGCTTTCCCCAGCATAAAATTTCAAACTACTTCTACGCCTCCATACAGCTACTGAACAGTGAGACAAATGAAATGCTTAATGCTGGGATATTTGATGCCCAAGACATCTGCTTCTTCCATTTTCCTGGTAATTGAAAGCTAGCCAAAGAAATAATTTATTAAGTAATGAATAAACTCAGGATGCAAGCTCAATTTGTGTCCATTATTTCATTTGGCATATCATGTTCATTTAAAGAATCTGACACACTGAATCAGACAGTCCAATCTAGTGATGGGAGTAATTGCTTTGCTGGCATGCACATTAAAACCCTGCAATGCTTTTTAAAAGGTCCACCCCTGTACACTACCCCAGACAGGGCCATACCATGGTTGATAATTTAATTTACTCAAAAGTCACAGTGGAAAAAAATAGGGTTTTTTTTCCCCCCATCTTTTTCTTCTGATAACAGGATCTCAGTAGTCAAATTGTGTGCTCTCAGACTCTTTCACCTCTTCCTCAGGTATTGGTGCCATAGAATAAACTGCTCACCCTTACCAAACATGTTTAGAAATCTATTTTTTTTTTTTTCTTTGGTTTTATAAGACATTTACCATGTATTACTTCACTAAAGTGAACTACTACCATGTGGACATGGTAATGACACAGTACATTATGTCTTACTTCTACAAATTATCAGGGAGCACATTGGAATAATAGACCATTACTGGAACAAAGCTCTTCCAGCAGGTCAGGATAACTACAGCAAGGAGAGGACTTCAGAATGTACAGCTTACACTGAAAACAAACCAAAACAAAGCCCTACACAACACTGCAATGATGCTTCCCTTAGACAGAAACAGTTATCAATAAAAGGAGGCCACTTTAAAAAGCTAAATGTCTCCTGCCCAAGAAAATATTCAAGCCAGCATATCCAGCAGCAAACATAAAGAACAGAAACAAAACAAAAGCAGCAGTGGGAAAAAATGTAAAAGAAGTGGGGAGGGAGGAGGAGGATCTTTTCTTTACTGAAAGAGTACTGAGCCATGGGACCAGGCTGCCCAGGGAGGTGGTGGAGTCACCATACCTTGAGGTGTTCAAAAAATGTGTAGCTGTGGCACTTGGGGACAGGGTTTAATGGTCATGGTAGTGCTGGGTGATGGCTGGACTTGATGATCTCAGAGGTCTTTTCCACCCTTAACCATTCTATGATTCTGTGAAACACCCTAAATTAAAGCTCATGATGCAATCACCTTGGAAAGCTCCTGACAAGAGATAACAGTAGAACACCAGCCCCTGAAACATCAGTATTTAAAATCTATGCATTTCATTACTACTCAAGATTACTTTGCATTATTTTTATGAATCCTACAAGAAACAACGTCTTGTGTTCCCTCTGCTGGTCCTGCTGTAACAGTGAAACTATTTCCAAGGCTCTCTGGCCATCAGTGATGACTGTTTGAACAAACACTTTATTGCTATTTTTTTAAATATTTGAAAGGGAGAGCTTTCAAAATTATATGTAACTTGAATAAAAGATTTCTCCTTGGATTTATCTTCTTAATGCTGTTTTTCTCTTCAAATCTAGACAAGATCCTGCATACTATTTTCTTACATCTCCTGAAGTCTGAGAGGTTGAACAGTTTGTCCTGCTCTGATCTAAGAAGAATTTCACCTTTGTGTTTTTTTAAACTCTGTAAACAGTATCAGTTAAGTCACAGCTAACAATGGCTCCCCTTTCACTGCTCTTTCCACCTTTGGGGCAGGGAGGTTGGGAGGGAAAGAAAGAAAGAAACAAAAAGAACTGAGAAAACTGATTTAACACATATACATTGATACAAGAAAATACTTGACAAAAAGACAACGTTAAGCCCATACTTTAAAACCTACTTTAAAGCCAAAAATATACACAGAAATACATTACAGTGACTTGTTTACATGGAATGAATTATTGGCCACTTTGATAGTACAGTCGAGCATCACAAAATTCCATAT